AATTCTGCCATGTGAGTCTGTTGAATGTTTCAACAAGCTCTAGGTGTGACTAGAATCTGCACAGAGCTACTCAAAATTGTTTACTTCTTCAGTTTCCATGTTTTTCAGGCAGGTCACAGGTGCAGAATTTTAGACAGCACTGTTTTTTGTACAGAAGCTGTCTGTGACAGCCAATGACTAAAGGTCTGATTGTACCATCCACCTTCTAGATAAGAACTTTTGTGCAGGCAAGGGCACATACATACACTATATGTACATAGTCACATGGGTCAAATGCACTGGTTTGGCATGTACACACTTAGCATGTTAATCATAAACAAGATATTTCTATGAAGGTTTTGATGCATAGTGGAAAATTCAGTGAACTGTCAATAAGCAATGTTTTAATATATCTTCCACTGAATGAAACAGACAACATTGTTACTACAGCTGAGAGAATCTTTTCTGTACTAAAACTACATTTTAATAGCAGTGGCTGAAAACCCTGGCATTGTAATGTCAGAAACAGGAGATGAAATGTTTTTTTTTAAAAGTAAAGGAAAGCTAAATTTACAGTAGAATGTGTGTGTGTGTTTTTTTTTAAATAAAGGAAAGCTAAATTTACAGTAGAATGGAAATAGTTCTTTGATCCTTCACACAATGTAAACAACAATGTACTCAATTAAAAGAAATTCTCTGACCCTCTTAATACAAATGTGATCATCTCTGTTTACTTAGGAAAGGATCTCAAAGGGACTGACACATGCTGCTTAGCAAAGAAATCAACGCTGGCTCCACCACCTTAGCTGAAGGTCAGGCTTCAGTGTGGTATCTGTGATGGAGACGTTACTATAATAAGAATGCATTTTAGAGCCAGAAAGTCTGGTGTTGACGGTTCTCCCAGCCGTATAAGGAACTTCATGGACACATGAGAACTCTTTCATGGCAAGCTGGACGTTTGGTCTGGTCAGGGTATTAATTATAGCTGTGGGATGAACTGTTCAAGTCATTGTATTCATGCTATAAAAACAGGAGTGGTAATTGATTCAGTCAGCTGAATCAGGGTCACATTTTTATGCAATTCCTTCTTTAAACGCATTGCTGTGAATTGTTACCATTACAATGCGTGTCTCCTTGTGGGAAGGCTGCTTAAGGTCAGCAAAGCTGCTTATTCCAATGGAAAATACTTTTTAACAGAGTGCAGCACAATTTTACTACAGCATAAGTCCAGCCTAGTGCACGGAAACTAATTCTTGCAAACCTCTGATGCACGTAGCCCCAGAAACTGAGGTTCTGGATCTTACTTGGTAAAATGTGCATTCCATTGCAGACTTCAGCATTCCTCAGCAAAATATTATTTCAGTTTACAGTGTCTTAAAGTGTTGAACTCAGTGTTGGTCAGGACTGCAGAACAGGAGTAGAGGTGGCCCCTTAGGTCAAGTCCCTGGTTCATCAGTCGGTCTCTCTCTCTCTCTCTGTCATTATCCAAGGACCTCAGAGCAATAGACACAGGATTATCCTCCCACAAACAATCATAAGACTTCCTAACTACACATAACTGGTCTCTTCCGTTCAGGTCCACCTTTCTATCCACTACACCACACAGTCTCATGAACACATGTTCAAAAAATAATAATCTGAAGCAATCTGAATAACCTTCCAAGTAAATGTGCTTAGATGTGCAGGATTAATTTCAGAAACCCATGTCAGCAGTGGGGTTTTGGTGCCATGTGGCAGGCTTATAAAAGTCCCTTGCCTAGTTAGTTGTGGCAAGTAAGTGGTTTCCCTCCAAGGGAAACAGAGACGAAGAAACAAATTGGGGCAGAGGGAAACAGAAGCTTTAATAATTGTACAATCTCTACGTGCTTCACATGCAGCTTTGTCAGGGGGAGTCTTTCAGATTCTTTTTGGTTCCATTCCCATACACACACTTGAACACAGTGAGCTGTTTCCCTCCAAGAGACCACCGTGGAAATCTTGGGCTGTGTTTTCCTTTCTGGGTGTAAATATGCCACAAATAGCTTTTAGGTGTGCGGGAGCTGGCAGCCTAGTAAGAATTGTTAATGGGCTACCAAATTCTCAGGACATATTTGCAGGGCTGCTATATTCTAAATATCTGTTTTTTCATATCTGTTGTCTTGGCGGTGTTGAGATAATTATAGCTGCTTGTTCGATAACCATTTATTTAAAATTCAAGAGCTACTTTTGCTAGCTTTCCATAACCATTTACTTAAAACAAAATTCAAGAGCTACTTTTGCTAGCTTTGTTTGCTGTGTTGACAAACACAAATCTGTATATATACGATCCCCAGATAAATTGGTGCATATACTGTTTTCCCAAATAAGGCCGTAAATTACTTTTTAATTTGTTGGTATGCTATGGCAGATGCGTCTGCAACATTGTGCTGCTTTAGAGGATGGGTAAGAAGTAGTGCAGAGAAAAAGAGAGGTTTTTTTTAAACAGTATTATTGTATTTATTTCACGTATACTCTTCTTCTTCCCATATGGGGAACCAGAGCAGCTTACATCACTCTACTTTCCTCCATTTTATCTTCCCAACAACCCTGTGAAGTAGTTTAGGCAGAAGGTGTGTGACTGGCCCAAGGTCACCCTGCCAGCTTCAGTGACAAAGTAGGGATTTGAACCCAGGACTCCCAGATTCCAATGAGACAGTCTAACCAATACACTATGTCTCTCTCTTACATGGGGTTCCCTGTGATCTCCCGTCTACATCCTACTTCAGCAGTGCTGCAACAGCAGGGCTTTCCCATCATTCACTGGGCTCTAGCAGGGGGGGGAAGAGAGCTCAGTGCAGCTCAGCCAGGGTCAAGACAGTACATAATTGTTCAAGCCAGGTATATAAATATAGACTGTGGATTCAGATAATTGTTACCATTGGCAAGATAGCAATCAGAAACAGTGAATGGTGAGCTTCTCCTCATACAGAGCATTATGGGCATTTTTTAACTTGTATGGAGATTCGGATTGCTTTAAATGTGGTTACATTGAGTATATAAGCATCCCATCCTATGTTTGTATAGTCCTTTATGTATCACAACGTATTACAGCATCTTACCGTCACCTTCCCTTCCTTTCCAGTTTGGTGTAGAGGTTAAGAGCGTGGAGAGAACCAGGAGCTGGGAGAACCAGGTCTTATTCCCCACTCCTCCACATGCAGCTGCTAGTGTGACCTTGGGTCAGTGATAAGTTCTTTCAGAGCTGTTCTCTCAGGAGCAGTCCTCAAAAGAGCTCTATCAGCCTTACTTACCTCCCCTGTGGGGAGGGGAAGGAAAAGGAGATTGTGAGCCACTCTGAGACCCCTTTGGGTAGTGAAGGGCAGGGTATAAATCCAATCTGTTCTTCTTCTTCCCCACAACAGGTCCCTTGTGATGTAGGTAGGGCCTGAGAGAGTGCTATGAGAACTGTCACTGGCCCAAGGTCACCCAGCAGGCTTCATGTGGAGGAGTGGGGAATCAAACCCAGTTCTCCAGGTTAGAGTCTGCCACTCCTAACCACTACACCATGCCAGCTGGTTATAGGAATCTCTGGTGTTTGAATAGCACTGTCAGTGACAATAAGATATGAGAGGCTGAAACTGTTTAATACTGAGGAAGAGAGCTGTAAGCAGTGCTACTATCATCTTCTTCTTCATCATCATCATCAAAACACATGGTTTATCATTGAGGAAGTGAGCTGTAAGCAGTGCTACTATCATCTTCCTTATCATCATCATCAAAACACATGGTTTATCTCTGTATCTGAAAAAGCTTCCAGTGAAGGATAGACATTACTTTTACTCAGGGCTTTTTTTGTAGACAAAGCCCAGCAGGAACTCATTAGCATATTAGGCTGCACCCTGACAGCACAGCTCATTAGCATATTAGGCCACACCCCCATGTTACCAGAAGTGACCTTTTGCTTCTTATTCTGTTTACCTTGTTTGTTGTCAAAACCCAAGGCTTTTTTTTGTAGCAGGGACTCCTTTGCATGTTAGGCCACACATCCCTAATGTAGCCAATCCTAATGAGTTTCTGTTGTTGGGTGTGGCCTATTATGCTAATGAGTTCCTGCTGGGTGTGGCCAACTCGGAGGCCAGCCGGAACTCCGTTCCTGTCCGTTCCTGCCCCAAAATAGCCCTGCTTTTACTATAGTGTAATCCTCTGCAGAGTCGCACCTTTCTAAGCCCTTTGACTTCAGTAGATTTTTGTTGTTGTTCAGTCGCACAGTCGAGTCCGAGTCGAGTCTAAATCAGTAGATTTAGAGGGGTGTAATTCTGCTTAGAATAGTACTGTTAGGCTGCAGTCTGAAGAACACTTTTCTGGGAGTAAGTCCCTTGGAATAGACCTATGTGTGGAATCTGAGTAGACCTCTTTAGGATTGGTCTCGGACATTCCTAAGAATATGGCTGCTGGAATACTGAACCAGAACAGCACACATTCTAGTCAGCAACAGAGGTATTATCTTCTCGATTCAACAGGACAACTAATGTTCATTGGCAAACTCCAAATGTGTGATCTGGGAAGCCATCTGGGGATCATGTAAAGTTGGATCCTGCCAGCTTTATGCTGGCACAGGGGGGGTGAGAGGTGATATCACACGATTCCCCTCCTCACGGCAGTGCCCCATCTCATGTAGCCATTTTGTCTCCCAGTACCCATGTAGCCTTTTCAGGGGCCAAAAGGAAATGCTGGGGGAAGATGGGAAAGCTGGTAGAACTCCAGCCCATCATTATTTATACAGAGTCATTTTTGCATTCCTGTGTAACAACCTGTTCTTGATTACTGTGGGTAATTTCCCTGTTATCTTTACAAAGGCGTTAACGTTGATGATAAAATAACATGGGAGTGAATTTTTCCACATGAAAATGCTGATGACCGTTAGCATTCCCTATTCTGCATGTCCATTGCCTCAGCGGAACTTTTGACTAGCAGCAGTAGATATTGGAGATCACATGTTCCTCCCTAGTTGGCGGTGCCACCTTGCTCTGGAATGTGTTTCTCTGCTTCCAGTGAACCTCTTCCAGCCTCACTGTGACATTCGAACTGCTCTGTAACTGAACTTGGAAGTTCTGCTTACGGGCACGCAGCAGAGTCCCGTGGATTGTTTTTCTCCTGTTTTCCCTTCTGCGGCTTTCTTCAGAGGTTTTTGCGGCTGTCTGTTTTTAGGCACTATCAAGTGAAGCATGGAATTCCAAAGCCGAGGGCGCTCCTATGTCATTCCAGAGAATGAAGAAATCTCGCACGCTTCTCAGACTGTGCATAATGGCCACGGAAATGAAGGGGAGAGAGCAGTGTCAAAACTGCAACGTAGGCACAGTGACGTAAAAGTATACAAAGAGATATGTGACTTTTATGCAAGATTGTAAGTTCACCTGGTCAGAGCTGGTTTATTATTTTGGTTGCTTTGCAGTACCGTAGTGTAATTTTTGGTGACTAGGAGAGCTGTAGTGTATTATGATCTGTATATTAAAAAAGATTTCGTGGAGTTAATCATATTTTAATTTTAGTTGTGTTTGTGTGTCTGTGCTGTAACGTGCAGTCTGATCGTTGTACGGAATAAGATTTTTATGGGGCTTCCAGTGGTGCGTTTGGAGCATTTATAAACAGGCTGTGTGTAGAAACTGGGAACGCCTCTACTTACACTGACACTTGGAAAAATGCATTGTTTTGCAGTGTGGAAGACAGTTTAATGCTCTGAGCTCACTAGTGTAAACTTCTTGCAGGCAGTCTTGATTTTGTCTGCTGAAATATGAAATTAAGTGCTGTCATAGACACAACCCAATCGTAGCCATGTTTACTTAGAAGCAAGTCCCATTGTTTTAAATGGGACTTATTCTCAAGTAAGTGTGCCTAGGAGTGCATCCTTAAAACAGTATAGATTCAGGACATGAAAACTGATAATTACTTATAAGGGTTCACTTTTTAAGAGCTTCTGTTGCAACTCATGAGGACTTTGGGTGCCGAATGCCCGCTACTGTGTCTTCAAAGTTCTACAGTGCAATTCTAAGGAGAGATACCTCCTTCTAAGTCCACTGAAGTAAATGGCCTTAGAAGGATGGATCTCTGCTTAAGATTGCCCTGGTAGGGACGGGGCCTTGGAAGTTCAGGGAGGCCTGCCAATGACTGTATATGAGCAGATGTTGTCTCTGCAGTCTGCAGTGGTGCTAAATGCAAGTATTTCAGCCACTTGGACTGAAGCCAGCATAGTGGGTGTATCCCATTGCAGAATGCTGTAGGCCACCTTTTCCTAGGAAGTACAGCAATTACTCTAGATTGTAATCAACATGACAAGATCCAGACTGTGCAGAAGAGTCAGTTTAGCTATCCAGTTGCTTTATTGAATATGCTCCCAGAAACATATAGCAAAACAAGCAAATATGTAATTATATATCTTTTTACAACAGCCAGAATATTGTTAGCCAAAAAATGGAAAGAAGAAGAACTGCCCTCTAAGAAAGAAGTAATAGATAAAATGTTGTCAGTAGTGGAAATGGATAAACTAAGTTTAACAATACAAGGTAATAGCAAAGAGATTTTTGAAAAACGATGGAAAATGTTCTATGTATGGTTAGACAAGGAGAATAAGTAAGACTCACAAGAATGAGAAATGTAAACCGATGATATGATGTATACTGAAAATTATAAATAAACAGTTAAAAAAAAAAGTTTAGCTATCCAGTTTGCTCCTTCCGTATAGTGTCGAGTGGAAACTGGTGGAACAGAACATTCTGCATCTGCTAATCTTGTGTAGCTCCTCATACGGCCATCTTGCTAAAAGGCTCATTGCTTAAGAGCAGCATCAGGAGTGATGCTTGTATGGACTTCAAGTAGTTCCTTGGTGCGTGAACTCTGCATACAGTGTTGCAGAGGAGACTCTTACTGTGCATACCCTGCTTCTCCAAATAGAGTCACAGGCAGCCTGCCAAAATATACAGTCCATCCACCAGAAGAAAAATGGATGGTCATGTGGACATGGCATGGGGCCAGTCACTCTCCCTCTCTTGCCCTAAGTTCCCTGAAAGTAATGTTTTGAGGAAGAAACTTGAGTAGAGGGAAATCATGTACGTGACCCTGAGTTTCTTGGAGGAAGGATGGATAAAATGTGTCTTGGTAGACAGAAGTGATGAAAGGAGCACGTGCATGTGAGTTTCCAGCTTGCTTCTGCATCCCAGTATGTGTATACGTAGGAGAAATGAATGAACTAACCCAGTGTGCATATGACACGGCCTAGGGTTCTACAGAAAAAAAAAATTCTGAATGACAGAGGATAATGTGAATTGGCTCTGAGATAATCTCCATATGGGAATTAATAATAAATAATAATTATCGTATGACCGTGTGTGTAGTATAGCCAGGAGAGCCTAAGATTGTCTGGCAGCCAGAAGTTCTCGCTTTTAGTGTTATGCACCACTAGGTTTGTGTTTAAGGCAAGAGATATTTCAGAGGTGGTTTGCCATTGCCTGCCTCTGCATTATGCCCCTGGTATTCCTTGGAAGTCAACCATCTAAATACTAGCTACACCCTGCTTAGCTTCTGAGATCTAATGCAATTGGACTAGCCTGGGCTATCCAGGTCAGGGCCCCATATGGGAAATAACATGTTTATCATCCCATTGGAAGAGTACCAAAAAAGAAGTTTATTTTGGCACCTGAAGTCCCACAGCTGTATTATCCATGAACTGGTGATAACAATATGAAATCTAGTGTTTTATATACCCTTGTTCTTTAATTATCTATTCCTAAACAGTGGATGCTTCAGAGGGAAATGTGGAGATCAGGAAGAGTAAGAGACCCTGTACTCCTGCAGAAAAATGGCAAGAGATTTGAGCAATAGTGTTGTATAGTGGTTAAAGTGATGGACTAGGATGCGGGAGATCTAGGTTTGAATCCTTACTCTGTCACGGAAGCTTTTTGGGTGACCTTGGGCCAGTCACGCTCTTTCACCCTAACCTGTTTTACAGCATTATTGCAAGGATAAAATGGAGGAGAGGATCTCTTTGGGGCCCCACTGGGAGAAAAAGAAGGGTATAAATGAAGTTACTCTAACCTGCCCTACCTTTAACCTCCCAAACTGCCCCAGGTGAGGGTTGTCCATGTGCCTTTCTCTCATACTGCTGGCAGCAGAGGACAGTACAGCTGTTGGATCTTGAGCTGCTCTCACCCATGACCACCTTGGGGACAGAAAGTAAGCTTATTACTCTCAGCCTCTCACTGCTGAAGTGTTTGCTGAGAAGATGACCATTGGATCACAGAAGAAGTACACCTTTTGGTGTGCTGAGCCCAATTTTCTGAGCCAAGGTCCTCCCTTAAGAACATAAGAACATAAGAGATGCCAATGTTGGATCAGGCCAGAGGCCCATCCAGTCCAACACTCTGTATCACACAGTGGCCAAAAATACCAGGTGCCATCAGGAGGTCCACCAGTGGGGCCAGGACATTAGAAGCCCTCCCACTATTGACCCCTCCCTTCCGTTGTCTCTTTGGAGATAAGAGGGACACTGCCCCTCTCTGCTTCTGGAATGCCTTTGGGAGGAAGATGTGTCCAGAGGAAGCTTTCCTTGGGCCTGATCTCTTCTTTTTATGATTCATTTATTACAAGAAAAGGAAGGGGGCAAAGGATTCCCCCCCACTCGCAGTTCTCTGTGGATTCTCAGTTATATCAATTTTTTAATAATTATATGCATATGTTTTCTTTGGAGGAAAATTATTAAAGGCTTTGTTAATATGGAGACACCCCATAATAGGGGAGGAGGGGGATGCTATCACATAGAAAGTTTGACAGCTTGCCCATGATGTTTGCCTCATTCCTAAACACTCTGTGTGGCAGTAAGGTTCATTGCTATCAGTAAGACTTAATTTTAGGCAAATATATATTGTGGGGAACTTTCAGACATCTCATTCTGTTTGTTCTTGCGTGTGAATTGACTCATCTCTCTGTAAGCAATGGAAAAGGCTTGGGTGTTTTCTTGAATTGTTGCCACCAAACTGGATCAACTGCCTATTAAAATAGAAGCAGCACCACAAAGAGTAGGTTTTCTTGCATTGATCTTTTCCTCGTTTCTTTGCAGCAACATGGCAAACGCTCTTGCGAATGCCATGTGTGAGCGCTGTCGAGGGGGCTTTGCACCTGCAGAGAAGATTGTGAACAGCAATGGTGAACTGTATCACGAACAGTGTTTTGTGTGTGCCCAGTGCTTCCAGCAATTCCCTGAAGGACTGTTTTATGAGGTCAGTTCCCTCTATTTCTGTGCTGGCTTTCTGTTAGTTCGTTACATCCCTTTTAAGAGCTGGTTTCCATATCTGGGGTTATAACCTGAATTCATCACTTCCCTGTAACCATGTGTGTTTGCAATTGCATAGCCTCCAGCTCACACAGTTTTGTCTTAGCTCAGGAAGGATGGCTCCAGAGCAAACTAATTTATGCAGTAGCCAAATCGCTTGCTCACAACTTTAATGCCAGTAGCTCACAGAGTAGAATTTTTGCTCACAATACTCCACAGCTTAGAGGGAACATTGGTTATAACCTGAATTCATCACTTCCCTTTTGAGGAGCTGTTGGCCATGGTGTGGTGCTTGACCACCAGTTCCAGGTTTGTGTGGGCCCTGGGTGATAGAGTATAACTAGGCCCCCATTCCTCTGCTGATAAAAGAGACTGCAAAGAGGGACGCCTCTTATGCGAATTAACTGTTAAGCGACACGAAGGGGGAGACGGGAGGAACAAACTGAATGTGTTTTGAGAGACTTATCTGATTTGCGACGTCATTGGGCGAGTTTTCTGAGTTGGGAAGAAGCGGTAGAAACGGCAAAAATGGCGTCCCAGCAAAGAAAGTTTAAAACGAAACCACCAGGCAGCCAGAGTCCGAAACCGGAAGAGGGAACAGATGTCATTAAACTCTTGGCGGATATGCCTAAGCCGGTGATGGAACAACTCAATGGTATTAACCAGCAATTGACCGTGATGAACAAAAGCTTCACAGCACAGCAGCTCCAGCTGAACGAAACGGAGAAAAAAGTGGAGCAGGCAAACGAGAAGATTAAAGAGATAGATTATCCCCCTTGTCTGTTGATTTTGTTATTTTCCTTGCTGATTGTATTCTATGAACTATTGTAACTAAGGAGCTTGTGTGCATCTGTGCGCGTATCTGTTTTTCGTATGCTTGAGAACTGTTTAGTAAAAGGCAACATTTATTTGATTAAACCTAGCGTGTTGTCTCACTTCCTGGGAAATTAGGAGCGTTTCGTTGGCCAATCTGACCTCTGTATACACGGGAAAAGTACTCACGCCACGCCCACTGTTGTACATAAGTCTGAGTTGGGCATTCGGAACCGTCCTTAGAGGAGTTCCGGTGACATCCCTTTTGCGGAGCTGTTGGCCATGGTAATAATAATAATATACTTTATTGTCATTGTATATAGTACAACGAAATTAAAGATGCAATAATTTCGGTGATCTACAACAATATTCATATACACTCACACACCATTCACTACTGTCCCATAACTCCCTTAAGGTTGACCACCAGTTCCAGGTTTGTGTGGGCCCTGGGTGATAGAGTATAACTAGGCCCCCTTTCCCCTTTGGTACAGCCCTTTTGCCTTTAATTACACCCCTTCCATTTGGTCTCTTCCCTTTGGCCCTACCTTTCCTTCTACAACCACTCCATTTTCCATCTCAGTTTGCTTGCTCTGATAAAGAGATCATACCAAATTTTCCTTTTTTTTTTAAGTTATTTTCATTACTTTGTAGAAAACCAGAGAGAAGAAAATATGCCTTCCATGATTTTATTTGGAGCCTTGGTCTAAGGGTCTGCAGAAAAGTTTCTCCACTCTCATCAGTGAAAGTGAGGAGGCCAGTCCATATCCTTCCAAGATACTTAAGCATTTGAACAATCCCAACATACTGAAGATTTTCATTTGGAACCATCCGATAAAGAGGAGGGAACTTAATTTTATCACTCAACACAGGGTCAAAGGAGCCATCGCTAACACATGGGAAAACTTATTTTTAATACTGATAAATGCATAACTTGGTTGCTTTAAGCAAGAGTTACATCTTCGATCCTGCTAATTTAATCTTCCAAAATATCAAAATCCAAATCTTTAACTGTTGGTTTTATACATAAATATTTTTTTAAACTGGGACTTCCGGTCCACGGAGCAACGATGGCAGACGCTCTCCCCACACTGGGGAAGGGCAAATCGCACACCAGCGGCATGGAGGGTTGCCACCTCAAGTGGCACCCCCGCGGAGCCTTTGTGATAGACTCCAGGCCAGGGGGCTTTTGAGGGGTAGCCTCTTCGATGGCGAAATGCTGGAGAACTGAGGCTCCCCTCTGCCCCAACGGTCCAGTCACTGAGTGGCCTTCGGGCACAAGCTGGTCTGACCGGGACAAGTGCCGGAGATCGAGCGGAATGGCGTATTAACCGAGCGTGGTCAGAGAAACTGACCAACAATGAACGTGAGTTCTGAATAAAATGGAGTACTTTAAAAGCTGTCCCCCCCCCCTCTGCTGATAAAAGAGACTGCAAAGAGGGACGCCTCTTATGCGAATTAACTGTTAAGCGACACAAAGGGGGAGAGGGGAGGAACAAACTGAATGTGTTTTGAGAGACTTATCTGATTTGCGACGTCGTTGGGCGAGTTTTCCGAGTCGGGAAGAAGCAGTAGAACTGTAAACAAAACGGCAAAAATGGCGGCCCAGCAAAGAAAGTTTAAAACGAAACCACCAGGCAGCCAGAGTCTGAAACCGGAAGAGGGAACAGATGTCATTAAACTCTTGGCTTAAGCCGGTGATTGAACAACTCGATGGTATTAACCAGCAATTGACCATGATGAACAAAAGCTTCGCAGCACAGCAGCTCCAGCTGAACGAAACGGAGAAAAAAGTGGAGCAGGCAAACAA